CTCTCTCTCTCTCTCTCTCTCTCTCTCTGTTTCTTTCTTTGTTTCTTCCTTCTTTGTTTGTTTCTTTCTTTCAATACTCAATAACTATAGTTCATTTTCCACTAATTTGCATTGAGTCATACACTACATCATGGGAAATCCTCAGTAGCCATATATTCAAAAGAAATGTTCTCTTTTTCCATTAGTTGTCATTTGCCAATAGCTTTTCAGTAAAAGGAAATATGTCCAGAATAGCCCTTCCTCAATCACTGCCGTAAGTTTTAGTGGCCTGATTTTATTCAGGTCTGTGTCACATGCAGAAGGTCGCCCTTTACTGCTCTCTTTCCCATCCTCTTGTTCTTACCGACCTTATCAGGGAGATTGGGTTGATAAAGATATTAGGTTTAGGGCTGAGCACTAGGTCTCTTATTTTTCATACTTTTATGATTTTCACATCTCTGGATAGACTTTTAATCTGCAAAAAGAAGTTTTATGGACCTAAATTTATAACATCAGAGGTTGATGGTGATACACATAAACATTTACACAGCAGCTGGACAATTAGACCATTAACAAAATTACATCAGTAAGTTGTAACCTATATCCTCTGACCTCTCCATCCATGGGATTTTAACCAGGAACACATCTCTGGATGTGAAATTCCCTGCTGCTGGCTTTAAAACTAATCAGATTGGAGTTAGGTACCTTGAAATATAATCATACATATATTGCACCAGTGCAGATCTAGGATGATGACTTGATCTAACCAGGGATAAAGCTCAGAGGTCCCAGGTTCAGAGTAGAGATGGGATCTGACTCTGGGTAAGGTTCACAGGTAAGGGAGGAGATTCTTAATCTTTTGTGTTGGAAACTATGGATCTGAGTGGAAGTCGAAGCTATTCTGGATTAAGACCCACAGAGAGCAAGAGTTAAACAACTCAGTACAAGCTGTAGTGAGCAAGATTACTTTCTATATTCAGTGAGATAAATCTGAGTCAATTAGGAAACATGCAGAATAGTAGAGATTTAGATGGAAAATGAACTAGAAAACTACTCAACCAAATTAACCTACGTGAAAGCAAATGTAAGTCAGTTTCACTATCTTTACTGCTGCTAAAACTTTATACTGAACACTTATGGATCACAAATTAATTTTGTTTGGAAAAAATGCCAAGGTAAGGTAGTCACTTTATTATTTGCAGAAGAAAACTACTAATTATGTGGAATATGTGCCTGTATATATGATCATTTTAACTTAACTGTGGAAGCTCAATATCATTTAAAAGCTTCTTTGAAATGATTGCTTTGAGTTCAAATGTTGACCTTTGAACACCAATATCTTCTGGTCTTGAATGTAAACTAAGAGGAAGAAAGACTTCTAAAAATATTTAAGATGAAACCAATGAAGATCACATGGATCATTTAAATCATTTAAATTCTTGGATTTCATTGACAATGAAATCAGGAAGCATCATATATGAACAGCTTCTAGACTCCAAATTTTGATGCAGATACACTGTCATAAGGACTTAGAAAACTGGATATCTAGAGCACATAGTTATTTTCTGTTGTACAACATTCAGTGACTAGAAAGTAAAATGAGTAACAAAAGAGCTGAAAGAGATAAAACTGTATTATTACAGTAGAGAACAGACTTGTAAAGTTTTTTTGTGTAGGGTCACCTAGTGGATATTTTAGTTTTCATAGAAAGAACATACAGCCATAATCATTTGGTGCCATATTTCTAGCTAAAAAAAAATAGACAACTGGATGTGATTTGGTATCATAAAAATATATCCGTAAGCACAGACGCAGGGTCTGATTTGTCTTTCATGCCATACTTTGGTATCTGGAATAGAGAATTAAAATTGAAGAAGGCATGTTTTTACTAGTCTTTCCCAGTTATTTTCCCTGGTCTGGCCTACTGTATTAGGTCCACTGTAATAAGTAAGAAAAAAATGGGAATATATGACTTCTCATGATTTTCTTGAACTATCAACCAGAAAAGTAAAATAAAATAAATTCCAGGAAAAAGGACAACTACCTGAAGTAATATGATAAATGGAGATGTGTGTCTCTGTTTAGCAGATACCAAAAAAGGAAAAGTTATTTTAATAGTGTTAATAGTGTTATCACACAGTATTAGACACTCTAGTGTTATCAATTTTTAAATTAGGGTATATGAATAATGATATACTGACTAAGAATCCATAGCTATAACATGATGATATCCCTATGATATACTATCTGCTCAGCTTTATTCCTCATTATTGGCAATTGCACTATGTATACTCTCTCCATCCCATTTGAGCCCTTTCTGTGTCTTCAACCTGTCTTCATGCCTTATTTTCTCCCCAGTTTCTATGGTCCATTTATTCTTTTCTATCTATACTATGTTCCTAGTTGATTCCCATATGGAACGCTGTCATGTCATCTCAACTTTGTGAGCCTATTATTTTTTTCCTATTCCTTCTAGATGTTTGTTCTTTCATCCTTTATACAAGTCCAAATTTATTATAAATCTTCAGTAATACTGAGTCCATGAAATTTTTGAACAAAGAAATAAATAATAGTTTGTAATATAAGCCAGTAACATCTAGCACAATGTTTCCCCACTTTCCTAATTTTATTGATTAAATGTGTATTATGAATCTCTTAAAGAAAGAATAGGATGATTTATCTCCAGTGCAACTAGTCTGGATTACAGACCACTCATAGTATAACAGAGAACTCCCAAATTGTTAGAGTCAAATGTCTTTGATTTTCTTCTCACTATATTCAGCATATGGACATTTGTTTTTAATGAATGAACAAAAATCTTGTTTACATATTTTTAAATCTTAAAGGTCATGCATTGTACAAATTTAGGTGTAGAGTATCCATGTGTTAAAGTAAAAAAAAAAAAAGTGTAGAAAATGAAATTTAGACCCTCTGTATCAGTCTCTGCAATGCTGGGTTAATCTCTTCTGGAACTATGTTTTCAAGTTCTGTGTTGGCAGCAATAGAAAGTGGTGTTATATTGTAGAGTCATTGTTGTCATAGATGCTAGTAAACAGTTACCAGATAGCTACATCTAACAATTCTTAGGAAAGCCACAATCAACACTCGGAGTTTACACTTGAAAACTTATCAATCACTGTGACTGATTTGTTTGGTGCTGGGACGGAGACAACAAGCACAACACTGAGATATGCTCTCTTGCTCCTGATGAAGTATCCAGAAGTCACAGGTAAGGGCACAGTTGGTGAACCATAGCATCCCCAGCATTCTTGTAGGATGCTGGGAAGACATTGTTAGTGTACTGTTTATTATTGTTAGAGAAGTCGCAGTCCTTATCTTCTGTGCTACTGGGCACAAAGACTAGGATGAACAAGAGAAACGAAGAAACTGTAGAAGTAGGAAAAGCAATCAAATACGGATAAGTGTCTGGAAGACACAAGGATTGCCTTCCTTGGAAGACAATCTGTGACTGACAGCTTTCTTTGGCTTGTCTTGCTCGTACATTTAGTTCCCAAATTAGGTTTTCAATGCAGGTAAGTTGTTGCACTTACTTTTATTCTAATAAATTTAATTCTGATGTACAAGGTTAAAAGTTACTTACTGAAACTTAAGCACAAATCCTGGAATTTCCTGAGCGTACCTGAGATAATATCCAATCTCAGGAGTGAAAATAAATCAATTCATGAGAAAGTTATTTCCATATAGGCAATAGTTGTAGAAAAAGGAATGTTACTATTTCAAAAGTCTATTTCCATGTTACTTCTGTTGAAAACATTTCCTTCAGTTGTGCCAACAGCATTTATTTAAAAATAATATTGTAGAAATGTACTTTTATTTTTTGTTTTTACAGAATTTATTAAAATATATTCTATGCTTATGAATATTAGTTCACTTAAAATGTAAGAAACAATATATTACTGGCTATAAAATGTTTTCCTATGACACTTATTTGATCAGATAGATTAAATCTTACATCCACATACATGGTATGTATGCAGTTTTAATGTTTTCATCAGTATAACATCTGGACATAGCAACAAAGAAAATAACAAGGTGGGGGAGACTCTATTCTTATATTATTGTCACCAGAATAAATACAGCAATCATGAGGACTCTCTTACTTTCTTCCAAAGCAGAGGTGGTCTCCTCTGTTATCTCTTCAAAATGGAATGTGTCTCCAGGGGACAGCATCTGAATGTTTCAACCTAAAAGTTACTTCAAAACACATTTAATGTTTTAGCACATATAATTTACATTGAAGTGACACTAGCATAAACATGAATGAGAACTAGTAAATAAAAGGTAAGAGAAAAGGAAAATTGCAAATGACAAAGAGGGCTTCACAAAACTACTGAAATAGAATGGTGTAGTTTGGCATGAGGAAAAATGGAGTAGGGAAGATGACACTGTAACATAGATGTCATATATGTAAGCTGAATTTCTACCATCACAGTATGGATCTCAATTAAAAACAATAAGGAATCAACATAGAGCTATAAAAGGGTTATAGAAAGAGTTTCTCATTTCCAGGGCCCCCTTCCTCTCCACAATTCTATAGTGACTGAAGTTCCCCTATGGAAGAAGACAGAATTGCTCTTTAAAAAATGAGTGTAAGAAGCCCTGTATTCAAAGATTTCCAGTTGTTGACAGAGAAAGGGTAATATATAGGGACAATGTGGGGTTAGAATCATTGTGTTCTAGACTCAAAATTGATAGGAACAGAGCACCTTTCTCCAATTGGCTTATGAATTTCATTGGCAAGATTTATCTTTTAAGAAAGTTAGTAACTTAAAGGTATCTACATTGTATAATCTTAATAGAAATTTCCAAGTACACGTCAGAGTGAAGATAATTAAACCACTAACCCAAGGAACTGACATCCATTTTCAGAACACTAGGATTGAATATAAATATAACATCCTTCAGGGAGACTCCTGAACAACATATAAGTATTTGCCATGAGACTGCTAAGCAAAAATGTAGGCCTAGACCTCAGTGTTGTATCAACTTTTCCTTTCTTCATGAAACACTTAAGAATATTTTAATCTACTTCTCTGAAGCAGGGTCAAGGAAGTCATGGGCTCCAGGTATGTGAACAACCCACATAGGAGGCTAAGATTATAGGATATGTTTCTGGACACATGATCTACAAAACTTTCTATTCTGTGTTTACCATGAGAATGCTGCATGCATGGACAGAGACTGGGGGACAAATGTGAAGTAATTTGTGGTCTGATGCCCTTATCCACTGAGCTTTTATTCCAAGAGCTATGAACTTAAGTACTTAGAAGCAACTCTAACTCATGAAATATAAGATTACAAACTAAATAGAAAAGACATCAGTCAAAATGTCTACTACTAATAGAAAATAATCATAATTTATATGATAGAAAATAATATTTATATACCACCAATGAATCTCACAATGAAAATTGAAATAACTAAATCCTGGAATTCAACACATTGTTAATGAAGTAACAGGAAGTGTGTGTGTGTGTGTGTGCGTGTGTGTATGTGTGTGCATGTATGTTTATTTTATTTATTTGTAGATGTCATTTAGTATATTTGATGTAATTGTAACTCACATTTTTATTTATTATGACTGAAGATAATAGATATATAAGTGGGTATATAGGAAACATTAACTATTTACAAATATGGTAATATTTCAGAAGCACCTGTTAAGTTAGAACTTGGTGTATTTTGAGCATCATATTAAATCAAATTTCACACACACACACACACACACACACACACACACAGAAAGTTTGTTTTAAAATATATTTTATTTTGACAAAAATTTAGTTTTATTTCTAATTGTCCTTCATCGGACTGTGCCATGATGGTTGTGTTGCTTTGCTATTTGAAGTATTTACTTAATTCTATCTTATTTGCTATTATAATAAGTACATGCTGATATATTATAGTAGCTAGTTATGAGATAGTGGTATGAATCTATATGTAGCATCTCTGCATGTCTTAATGTACTCCAGGACATAAAATGCATTTACGATTCTATTGAGGCACTTTTTCATGCACAATGTAGTCAAATATTGTGATAAGCATTTTACTTCCTTTCCATTTCCTTGCTTTTTACTGTGACCAACCAGCTAAGGTCCAGGAAGAGATTGATCGTGTGATTGGCAAACATCGCAGCCCTTGCATGCAGGACAGGAGCCACATGCCCTATACAGATGCCATGATTCATGAGGTCCAGAGGTTCATTGACCTCATCCCTACCAACCTGCTACATGCAGTGACCTGTGACATTAAGTTCAGAAATTACCTCATCCCCAAGGTAAGCTTTTCTTTTCTCTGCTGCACCTCAATGCTCTGTGTTCCAGTCTTCTGAATCATAATTTTCCTTTGATTCTTATATTCTTTGTGCCCACTCTTTCATGATGATCCCTGAGAATTGAGGATATGATTGAACATTACCCCTTACTTATTTTTTCCTTATTCTCTATCCATGCTTAAACTTTTCACTCCTATCATATTCATCCTATTCTTTGATAGTACACATGTGCAATTATTCCCCTTTATTATATACTTTTCAATTGTACTATGAGATTCCCATAAGGGATGCTGTGTTATACCACATAACTTCTTATATATCTTGTATTTTGTTTAAGCCTTCACTTTATTTGAACTGTGAAATTCTCATGTAGAGATCCTATGTACATTCTCACATAACTTCTTATGTTCCTTTAAGCCTTCATCTCGCTGCCCACTTTCCCATTCATATAACTTCACTACCTGCTTGAATCCTGTACCCAGTATTTTCCTTTCTCCTTTCATTTCACCCATATTTTATTACCCTTTGCCCATGCTCCATTGGCAATGACCAGTATTTAGCTATCTCGCTTCCACATATAATGTAAGTTAAAAACAAAGCCAACAAATGATTTAAGCTAAGACGCTCAAGTGAGAGAAAACATGTAGCATATGTATCTTTGAGTAGGGTATAATTTTTTTTATTTGTTTATTGGATGTTTTATTTACATTTCATATGTTGTCCCCTTATACTATCCCCCACCCACCCAGGAATCCCCTATCCCATCACCTCTCCTCCATCTTCTCCGTTGATATAACCCCTACCTACCCCCCTACTCCCACTTCCCCACCCTCAAAATTCCCACCCCCTGGGGCATCCAGCCTTCATGAGGTCAATTTTTTTCTCATGAGTATGTGAAGAAGTGTTTTCATCTTTTGGGTAGAGTCACATCAGCATCTATGTAATTATACCAGTTTGCTTGTAATGAATTAAGTTTTTGATTTGACTTTTGAAAGTTTAACTTTATTTACTTGATGTAATTGTTATGTAGGCTTACTGCTGAATAAGGCCATTCTTTCTAGTTCTTTTTGAACACTGGATGGCTAGTTTAACTCAGTTCTTTTGTCCCAAAGTCTTCTCTATGCTAACTGATTTGATTTGACTTCTCTCAGATTCTCAATAAATTACTCTGCTTGGCCTCAAACTCTGGCAATCTATACTAATATTCTGGGTCTTGCTTATTCTCTGATTCTGTCTTTACATGTGTCTAACTTGTTTTCTTTGCAACCAGTCTTACTAAATCAGTCCATGTCAAAACTCCTGAACTCCACAAATTGAAGTACCATGAACTCTATTCCTTTCCCCTGCATTTTTTATTGGATATTTTACGTATTTATATTTCAAATGTTATCCCCTTTTCTGGTTTTCCCTCTGGAACCCTCTTATCCAACCCCCCTCCCCCTGTTTCTATTTGGGTAATTCCGCTCCCACTCACCCACTCCCAACTCACTGCACTGGAATTCCCCTACACTTGGAAATCATACCTTCATAGGACCTAGGTCCTCTTTTACTGTTAATACCAGATAATGCCATTTTCTGGTACATGTGTGGTTGGAACCATGGGTCCATTCATGTGCACTGTTTGGTTGGGAGTTTAGTCCCTGGGAGCTCTGGGGTTCTCCTTGTTTGATATTGTTGTTCTTCCTATGGAGTTACATACCCCTTCAGATCCTTCAATCCTTTCTCTAACTCCTCCATTGGGATCCCATGATCTGTCCAATGGTTTGACTGTGAGCACTCACCTCTGTATTTGTCAGAGAGACTTTTAATGACTCTGTCTATTTCATTAGATGTTATGGTACTGTTTAGATGGTTTATCTGATCACTATTTAACTTTGGGATCCAGTATCTGTCTAGAAAATTGTCTATTTCATCCAGATTTTCCAGTTTTGTTGAATATAGGCTTTTGCAGTAGGAACTCATAATTTTTTGAATTTCCTAAGTTTCTGTTGTTATGTCTACCTTTGAATTTCTGATTTTGTTCATTTGGATACTGTCTCTATGCTCTCTTGTTAGTCTGGTTAAGGGTTTATCTATCTTGTTGATTTTCTCAAAGAACTAACTCCTAGATTTGTTGATTCTTTGTACAGTTCTTTTTTGTTTCTCCTTTGATTTCAACCCTTAGTTTGATTATTTCCTACTGTCTACTCCTGTTTGGTGTATTTGCTTCTTTTTCTTCTAGAGGTTTCAGGTGTGCTGCGAAGCTGCTAGAGTATGTGCTCTCCAGTTTCTTTTGGATGCACTCAGAGCTATGAGTTTTTCTCTAAGCATTGCTTCCATTGTTTTGTGTAAGTTTTGGTATGATGTATCTTCATTTTCATCAAATTCTAAGAAGCCTTTAATTTCTTTCTTTGTTTCTTCCTTGACCAAGTTATCATAGAGTAATGAATTGTTCAGCTTCCATGTATATGTGGGCTTTTCATTGTTTTTGTTATTATTGAAGACCAGCCTTAGTCCATGGTGATCTGATAGGATGCATGGTATTATTTCAACCTTCTTGTATCTGTTGAGGCCTGTTTTGTGACCTATTATACTGTCAGTTTTGGAGAATGGACCTTGAGGTGCTGAGAAGAAGGTATATTCTTTCATTTTAGGATTAAATGTTCTATGGATATCTGCCAAATCCACTTGATTCATAACTTCTGTTAGTTTCACTGTGTCTCTGTTTAGTTTTTGTTTCCCTCATATGTCTGTTGCTGAGAGTGGGGTGTTGAAGTCTCCCACTATTATTGTGTGAGATACAATGTGTGCGTTGAGCTTTACTAAAGTTTCTTTTATGAATGTTGGTACTCTTTCATTTGGAGCATAGATGTTCAGAACTGAGAGTTCATCTTGGTAGATTTTTTCCTACCAAGATTGATGAATATGAAGTGTCCTTCCTTATTTTTTTGTATAATTTTGGTATAAAGTTGATTTTATTCAATAATAGAATTGTTTCTACAGCTTTTTCCTTGGACCCTTTTGCTTGGAAATTATTTTCCAGCCTTTTATTCTGAGGTACTGTCTTTCTTTGACACTGAGGTGCATTTCCTGTATGCAGCAAAATTCTGGGTCCTGTTTAGGTTTCCAGTCTCTTGGTGTATGTCTTTTTATTGGGGTAATTGTGTCCGTTGATGTTAAGAGACATTAAGGAAAAGTGATTGTTGCTTCCTGTTACTTTTGTTGTTATACTTGGAATTAGGTTTGTTTGGCTATCGTCTTTTGGGTTTTTTGAAAGAACATTACTTTCTTGCTTTTTCTAGGGTTTAATTTCCATTCTTGTGTTGGAGTTTTCTATCTATTATCCTTTGTAGGGCTGGATTTGTGCAAAGATATTGTGTAAATTTAGTTTTGTCATGGAAAATTTTGGTTTCTCCATGATAATTGAGAGTTTTGCTTGGTATAATAGACTGGGCTGGCATTAGGGTCTGTATGGCATCTGCCCTGGATCTTCTGGCTTTTAGTCTCTGTTGAGTAGTCTGGTGTAATTCTGATAGGTCTGTCTTTAAATGTTACTTGACTTTTTTTTGGTATGGCTTTTATTATTCTCTCTTTGTTTTGTGCATTTAGTATTTTGATTAATATGTGACAGGAGGAATTTCTTTTCTGGTCCAATCTATTTGGAATTCTGTAGGCTTCTATTATGTTTACTGGCTTGTCTTTCTTTAGGTTAAGGAAGTTTTCTTCTATAATTTTGCTGAAGATGTTTACTGGCCCTTTGAGTTGAGAATCTTCACTTGCTTCTATACCTATTATCCTTAGTTTTTGTCCTTTCATTGGGCTCTGGATTTCCTGGGACTCTTGGGTTAGGAGCTTTTTGCATTTTGCATTTTCACTGACTGTTGTGTTAATGTTTGCTATGGTATTCTGTGCTCCTAAGATTCTCACTTCTATCTCTTGTATTCGGTTGGTGATGCTTGCATCTATGACTCCTGATTTCTTTCCTACGTTTTCTATCAAGGGTTGTGTCCCTTCATGATTTCTTTTCTTTTTTTTTGCATCTTTTTTTTTATTTCTTTTTTTTGAACATGAAATGCTTTTTTTTTATAGCATGATTTACAAGGGGAGGGGGTAAGAGGGTCCAGGTGGTGGAAAAGTACAAAATCTTCTTGGCCTGTGCCTTGAAACATGTCATGGTCTATACGGTACACTGCCTTGAATTATGATCTACCTGCAGTTCTTCAGAAGATATGGTACACTGCTTGAGTTATGGTCTCCCTGCTATTCTTAAGAAGACATGGTACTCTGCTTTGAGTCTATCTGCAGTTGCTAAGCAGGATCTTGCAGTTGCCAAGCTTCAGAGGACACTGTGCAGGTGGGGAAAGGTAGGGGGTAAGGGTAAGGGCGAGGGTCCTGGCTTCTGGCATCTCCCCTATCTCTGTTTAGTTAGAGAAGGCGTCTTATGTTCAATCCCAACTATGTGAGTTTTGAATTTGGATGTCTAATTATGGGGGGTCTTAGACAAGTTCACAACCCCAAAACACTGATGTGAGACGAGTCACATCGATGGTCGAAGGCTTTAGGCTGTCGACGATGGGCAACGTCAAGGGATTCTGATGTGGGTGCCGACCACCAGTTGGACCAGCACCATTTGTTGAAAATGCTATCTTTTTTCCATTAGATGGTTTTAGCCCCTTTGTCAAAGATCAAGTGACCATAGGTATGGGGGTTCATTTCTGGGTCTTCTATTCTATTCCACTGATCCTCCTGCCTGTCTCTGTTCCAATACCATGCAGTTTTTTTTTATCACTATTGCTTTGTAGTACAGCTTGAAGTCGGGGATGGTGATTCCTCCAGAAGTTCTTTTATTGCTGAGAGTAGTTTTCGTAAT